TGATTGAAGGAGACAATCGAATTACCGCGATGTATGCCAAATGGTTAGGCAATCAGTAACAATTCTTAGCTTTTATAACTAATTATTAATGATTATTACATACTTAGCTGAGTCTCTATAAGCAATCAGCGTTCAGAGACTAACTTCTGCTGCCCATTAGGCATTAATGTAATATGTAAGATTTCGAGAAACTTGTCTATTTACCTAATTGCCAACTTAAAGTTGAACAACTCTCTGTTTGTTTACACATACACGATCAGTTGCTTCGGTGCTCAGGTGCTCAGCCCTAAATCTAGTTTGGATTCAGGTTAGAAATCAGACTCGGGGGCCCAACTTGATGAGTAATTCATGCAGTACGTGTCTGCGTATGTTCGTGTTTGTAGAGATTCTTATATGTTGCAACGAGTTTGTTGAAGTTCTGCTAATGTTGTCGAGCTGCAATAACAATACGTGTATGCTGCAATAACAACAAAAGGCAACAATGCAACGAGACAACGTGCCAGCGTGCAACAACAAAGGCATGCAAGTATTAAACTATGCAGGTTAATTTGACTAGAAACGCCGTTTGCCAAGCTGCTGCTGCTGCTGCTGCTGCTGCTGTCAGACTGTAGCTGCTGTTGTTAGATGAAGGCACCCGCGGGCAACTTGGACACAAAGTTGGCCCAGGCATGTCGCCTGGCCCCTTTTATAATGCTGCAGTTAAAATGCGAACAAAAGACAATGGACAAGACACTAGCAGCATAGCTGTAATCTATGTACACACACACACACATATATTTGCAACGTACATGCAACAGATTCTCGAGTTGATTTGTTAATGTGAGGCCCGGTCTGTGCACCAAGTTGTTTTCCACTTCAAAAGCGGCCTCTTTAAAGTGCAACGTTGCGTATGCGCAATTATTAAATGCTGCATGCCCTGCCATTAACTCTGATTGTAAGTGCGAATGCAATTTTCAATGTAATTGCTCAAAAGCCATTTGACACGACTTGCCATAGTGTTGATGCAACTAAAATTTTGTCAAAGCTAAAAAATAAAGTAAATAAAGCAAAGCAAAAAAACTGAGCAAAAAAGAAGCTAAAGAGAGAATTAAATTGAGTGCAAAGGGTAAAGCAATGCGAATTTATAAAGAGAATACGAAACATTACAATTATTATTATTAAACGAACGTTGTGCGAGTTCGAGAAGCTCAGCACTTGAAGAGCTTGAACTGCAAGCGGCAAGCACAATGATGGAACCCTTTTGATATTTACTCAGTACAGCAAACTCGCATCGACATTTTATAGCAATTTCCTTCATTGAAACAAAGGCTTAGTTTTATTTAAGAGCAATACAAATGCCTTGTTCAAGCATTCAATTGCTTTGCGAGCTTCTTTGCTCGGTCTCTAGAGAGAATCAACAGCTGTGAGAACTCCGCTTTTTCTCAAACAGAAACGATTCGCTTCTCTTGTTGATGCATTTTTATTATTCACATATATGTTTTGCCAATCTAACTTGGAGAGCTTCTATCACAACTTGTTGACGAAGCGAATCTATTAGCACAACTACGATTAAGTATTCTGGCCATTTAGTAGCGTTGGTTCAAACGCCAGCGTAACCCTTTGCAATCCCCAATTTTACATATTTTTAAATATTTCTCACCCAGGCCCAGTGGCAAAGGACGAAAATCCGATAAAAGCCTTGTCAAGCCGCCGTCAAGCGAGCAAAAAAAAAGTTCTACAGGCACAAAATATAATAAAAGAATTTAAAAAAATAAAAAGTAGAGCATGCGGCACAACATCCGTAACTGCAGAGCAGAGCAGCGCAGCAAGGGTTGATTGCCGCCCATGTCCAGCAAACAAAAACTGCTCCGCCGCCCCTTTAACCGTCTCCCGGCAACACCCGCACCCCCTATGGCCATAGGGTAAACCTTTGACGCTTCATCGTTTGCCGGAATTCAGTTACTGTTGCGTTGCTGTTGCAACTGCTGTTGTTGTTGTTGTTGCTGTTGCTGCTGGTGCTGCACACTAATTTCATTTTTTATACAAATCGAGAAGAGTTCTCGTATTTCGTTATCGACTTTTGTTTGTTAACGCTTAGCTTGGCGATTTTCGAGTTACTCGCAGCTAGATGGAATTTCGTTCGGTTTTTAACTGTTTTTTTTGTGTGTTTTTCAGCTGCATCGAAAACAATTTTTGACGGTTGTGCAACGCGTTGTGGCATTTGCATTCAACGACAATTTATGCAAATCGAATTGTCAGCCAAGCATTGCATATTGAATTAGCTGAAGAACAGTTGAGCAGCAGCAGCAGCGGCAGCCGGGGGAGACGAGACAAAATTGTGGCCAATTGGCGGACGATTTGTTAATTATGCGACCCACATTTGCATGTAAAGGAGCAAATTTAATTCCAATTCTATTACTTTTGGCACAGAAGCAGAGAAAGCATCGAAATATGAATGGGTTGACCGAACGGCCGGTCAGCCAGAAGGCAGAGCCAGCGAGTGCGCTGGACGTGGCCGACAAAACGAACAATAGACCGTAAAATAAGTGCAAAAGCAGGAGGCAGTCGAGGCAGTCGAGCAGGCAGCATAAAAAGAAAACTGAAAAACTTTGAGAGAGCGCAGAAAATTCAGCGAAATGAAAAATGAACAAAGTGCCCTAATGGCAAAGCGTGCTCAACGTTTGAGACGAAAGCTGCAGGCAACACACAATGAACAGCATGTTCCTGTTTAAAAAAAAAAATGAGGAAGATGAAAATTGTCGGCAGAGGTAGGTAATAAGTGGAAGAGAGAGAGGGAGGGGAAAGCTCAGCATCAATTGAACAGTTAAACTTCCATTAATTGTGCGCCAGCAGGAGGCGTAGAAGCTGAAGCAGGACCAGGACTAGGTCACAGGCTGCCTGTGTACTGTGCCAACTGTGTCAGTCTCAAATTTCAAATGCATGAGATGCCTGCGTAAACAGGTCAGCCACCAAAACCGTTGGCAAGTTATTTGAAGCTGGCCAATTGTAAATTACGCTTCAGGAGAGCTGCGGTAGACACTGCGGCGGGGCAGGCAGCAGGAGGTGGAGCTGCTTGCTGCAAGCAGACGGCATTCAATTACATGATTGTGTCATTAGTGGATCCAAGCGAAATTAACCAACATTTGGGCAGCTAATTGGTTGCCTAAATGGCCAAAGCAGCTCGTGTGGAAGTCCATGGAGCCAATCCCCTAACGTACCCACACTCCACTGCCACTCGACCCACTCTGCCCGCTTCAATGAAGCGCACCACCTAAAGTGTCGCCAGTCACACTTCATTGAAGACTGTCTCAAATTTTCCATTTAACAAATTAGCAGGCTGACAAAAAAAGAAAACATCTAGTGAAAATTAAAAAAAATAAGGAAGCATCAGCCAATCGGGCACCACTGCGCCACACAAAGGACATCCAGCATGCCGAGTGGAGCAATGACACCGAAATTAGTATTAAGTTGAAAGTAATGATAGGCCGGATGAGAAATGCCAGCTGCCGTTAATGAAACACTCTTGGGCACAACAAATTGCTGGCCCGACGATTTCATCTTCCATCCGCTGACGATTATATGAAACAAGAGCAGAAACAAAGATAGAAAAATAAATTATATATAGAAAAAAGCGAGCCTATCTTTAAAGATTTAACAACCTAGCAAGGGCTTGCTTTTCCTATCATCTCCCAACAAAATTGTGAGACTGTCATCAACAAAGCTAAGATTGACAAAAAAATCCAAAAACAGAAAATCTTTTTTGATAAAACCTTATTCGTTGCTTTATTCAGAGTCTTAGCAAGTCTTGATTTGATACCGCTGTAAAGTTTCTTCAATATATGTTGAGTAACAGCAGAGTTATTGGTTTTAGACTGACTGAATCATAAACTTGATCTGCTCTAAGTATATTTATCTATAAACTCAAACTATATCAGAGATATATATATTTATATACTCTTTATACTATCACCTTTTATGTGCCAGCCGCTCTACCCTCTAAACAACCAAACGACCATGGCCAAAATTAAAGCGCAGTTGTTTTGGTGCTTTAACATTTTTAAACAGCCATAGAAAAAATAATAAAAAACAAAAATAAAAACCAATACGTAAAAAAAGAGAATGGAGAATGGAACACAAGTGTGAACGGGCGAACATAAATCATTTTCCGGAAAATGAAAAGCTTTGCGCAACAAGTCGACGAAACAATAAAAATCTGCTTTAGAGGGGGCGAGCGAATGAAGTTGGCTAAAAGCTGGCGGGGAGCAGTCAGGCAGCGGGAGCTTCTAGGTGCCATCGAGCGGCTGACCGACCGAAAAGAAATATATGTTAAATTAATATATATTAGAATTAATGGCCGTTTTCGAGGGTGCTGCAGCCAGCTGAAAGGGGACGACGCGTGGCAGCTCTGAATGAAAGATGGCGATTTCAAATGGCGTGAGTGTCCATTAAAATGAAACAACTTTTCGAAGTTTGAGCGCATTTTAAAAATCATAGAGATAGGGATAAGAGTTGAAGCACAATATTTTTGTGAGAGAAAAACAAAAGAACTTTAAGAAGAGAATTCGAGCAAATATTAAACTATCTATGGCATTCAAAATATTAAACAATAATTTTAAAAAATTTGATTTTTACATTATTTTGATATTGTTTCAACTACATGAAAAAAAAGATCGCGGTCCAAAGGCCTGACGCCGATGAGGCTCTTTTATTAAAACAAGTTCCACATTTCAAGTCTCATTTCACTTCATGAATGAGTATAAATATATTAATTAAATATTAAATAATCTATTTTACCATGACAAATCTGATGTTTAATGATTTTCAAATCATTTGCTAGTATTATAAATTCTTTTTTATTTGTAACCTGACACCGAACTGGCAATTTATGGTTCGCTCTGCCATTATGTGAGATCCAACATGATTTATGTACCCAACATTGCGTAGTGCAGAAAAAACCAATTGTGCTTCTGAAACATACTTTTATTTTATGAGCAGTGCAGCATGCCTGAAATAGAGTTTTCTTTAAAGATTTCATTTTTGCAGCCAACTAATTTTATTATGTGATCAAACTAAAAGTTGTTAACAATTATAGCACCACCAGCTAAACACACAACTAAATTAGAATTCTAAACCGTTTTTAAGACCTTCGAAACGCAACCCAAATGCCGCTCAGCTTTATGGTAGGAAGTAATGCTAGTTGAAAGAATGAAATCAAGCTGTTAGTAGAGCATAAATCGAAGGCTTCATTGGCCGACTTACCTTGGGATCGGCCTTCTTCCAGCACTCATGGAACCACCAGGCCTTGTGGCACAGCGTATCGCCTTCGGGGTGTACGCACTGCTGGGACATGGCTATCAGATTGTCTCGAATCGAGTGCGGCACCGAGTGGAATAGCGTATCTAGATGCACATCGCCATTGTCGTCGACCACTTCCAACTCGTGGAACAAACAATTCATATAGCACTTGAGCTTTTCATCCTCACGGCCTTCGCCATCACTGTACTCCTTGATCGCAGCTGTAAATTGTTGCAAGCGTCACAATTAACATTATTATTGTAATTTTCTACAGTTATTTATGCCTGCCAGACAGACGGCTAGGTGGACTCACACTCGCTGACGCCGGTTTGCTCCACACAGAGGTCGTGGAAGAGCTTGGCCATTTTAAGTACGTTCTTCGGTGGATACTGCAATTAAAAATGTGTTGCTTAAGTGGGCGTGGCAGAGCTGAGCTCCGTTTATTAACTCACATTGTCGTCACGCTGCGCCAGAGCCGGCGACAGCAGCGCCTCGCTGAGCACCAGCGACAAGGCGATTAACAGGCAGGCTGCGACAGGACGACGTCCGCGATTTCGGCCAAAGTCACTCAAAGCCATTTCCATGTTGCTTCTCTGTGGAACAGCAGAAATTGTTTGTACGCTCGCTCGGCCTTGTTTGCCAGTTGTGAAAGGCGGAACAAAAGCGACGATGCATAACAACAAAAACAGCGCAACATCAAAAACAAAAACAAAAAAAAGAGTGGAATACAAAGGAGGCAGACACTGTGGAATGGCCACATTTGTAATACCCTACAGAAGGTGCAGCTGGATGCGGCTAAGAAATATTCTTATATGCAAAGATGTAAGTCATACTTAACAGCTAAAAGATATTCTTATATGTATTTATGTCTTAGCTACAGCTATGGTTAGGTGATTATGTTATGTTAATGTTATGTTAACCTTATGTTAATGTTATTCATTCATAGAAATGCCTAAAGCAGGCAGCGTAATAGAAGTATAGCTAATATAGCTTGGTTAAAAGATTAGTAGATTAAGTTTCGTTTTTAGATAAACTGCATCCAATGAACATGTCAGACGAAGCTTGACTTCGATATTAAACGAACTGCAAATGATGTAGGCAGCAGCAAAATCCAACTTCTAGCTGATACATGTTAGGCCAAGCAACTGCCTGAGGCATAAATTTGGAAGTCTTAGAAGCGCGGACGCTGCTGGAGGGTGAAAGCCTCGAAGAGTCTCACAGTTAGCAAAGTTCAAATACTTGCAGAGTTAAAGCTTTAATCTACAATTTATGTTAATCAAAATTATAATTAATATAAATATGATCATGTAGAGAAATAATGACTTCTTGTACATTCGAGCGGACAAAATCGAAGGACTCGCACCGCTAGGGCAGGCAATGCTAGGGAGAGCAACATGCAGGATGGAAATGGATGTTGAGCTGGCAGAGACGACAACGTGCCACGCGTGACAGCTGGACAATGACAATGTACGTATAAGTATATGTGTATGTATGTGTGTTTGTGTGTGTGTGTGAGGGTTTTTCTAAGTGCGCTTTTTTGTAATTTTTATTTCAGGAAGCCATGCAAGAGGTTTGGGTAGCGTGTAAAGAGTGGGTACTGGCGGCTGCCAGAAGTGAAACCAACAAAAAATCATTTGTTTCTTGCTAGCTGAGCTCAGCGCACGCTAAATTAATTCTAACCGCTAGCTGAACAAAACGCAAAAACAAAACAGCAACAACAAAAAAAAGCCTCGCCAAACGGAAACGGAAATGTGGCCGAGACGTCAGGGCTTCAGCGCTGTTGTCAACGTTCCTTTCTTTCAATGCACAATCGTTGTGTTAATTTTGACAACCAGATGCCCACGTGCGTGGCCACGCCCTGCCGCCTACCAAGCCATACATATACATATATAAATGCAGAGGCGAGTATGAAATTTGCCATTCGCTCGTTCTTTTTTTGTTTTTTTTTAACACAAAATACAATAGAAAGACGTCAACTTGTGCACAACTGTCACTTTTGTTTCATCAAATGTCAACGCAACAACCGAAACAAAGCCACAAAACGACGTAGGCACACACACACACTCACGCAAACAATCATAAAGAACGAATGAATTTACAATAACAGCAACAGTTATGGAGCTGTGCGTGTGTGTGTGGGGCACACAGTTGGCCCTGGCAGCAACGATGGATGGTTTTTTAATTGCCATTTCAATTTTCGTTATGCGAATTGCCGTTGACGCGTTTTTTACTACAGCTGCTGTTGTTGTTGTTGCTGCTGTTGCTGCTGTTGTAGTTGGTGTTGTTTACCTACGCTCGTTCGCTTTTAAACTATCAACAGGACAAAAAGAAGTGTTCCAACACACGCGAGAACCGCACTCAGAATCGAATTGGCTTCTTACCCATTTCTAGCTGCCTGTTTTATATCGATTTTGGAAAAGTTTTTAGCCAAGTTTTGCGCATTAAGTCATTTGGCATACAATTTCTATAATTTAGTGCTTAATCAACGTCCATATTTATCTAACTTGCTTGTCATCGGCTGCTCTATGCACCACTTGAAATATATATATTTTTGCAATTTGCATGCAATTGCATCTACAACTGCAGCTGTTCACCTGCCACTCCCAGTTGCGTGTCCACAATTGCTAGTTGTACGAATGCAAAACACACACATACATTTATATATAATAAAGTCTTGGCCCCCATAAGAAATTGACATTTTTTTGTGGGTCAAGGTATGCCAAGTGCTATGTAAATATTTTTTAAAATTGTTTAATTGACTTTTCTGGCATTCACAAATGACTCTATTTGGAGCCTCGAAAGCAACGCTTGTAAGGGTTTCGATTCGGTTAGGAATTAACATTTTCTCATATTTATTAGTTAAATACTTAGATTTAAGCTCTTCAGCTCACAAAGCTGCAACTGAATCTGACAATTGAAATGGGAATTATACAAAAGCTGAAGAAGTTAAATTCTTTGTTTTTTTGCATTCATTTCAATAATTTTTTCACGTCAACAACTGTGCTTTGGTTTTTCCGGCAACGATATATTGGCAAAAAGGAAAATTACAATATTTTATTACCTTTAGCCGTAACTAGTTGTTTGGCATTCAAATTTGAATTCCTAGTTTGGTTGCAATGACAACTGCAATTGCATTCAAATTGCCAGGTATGCGAAATGAGCAAATGAATGAATAGAAATACAACAAGCGCTACAGATCCCAATACAATGACAAAATGCCAAATGAAAGACCAGAAGCACATAAATTGAACGGTGATTGTCACAGGTAGCAACGCCCTGTTACCGATATGGCCATCGCTCATTTGTATGTACGCTGGTCACTCAATTTATTGCGTACTCTGAAGGTAATTCAGTTAGCTGAACAGCACTAATGAAATACTAACGTGTTTGACTACAGCTAACTTTAAATATTATATAAAGCGCAACATATATTTGCACGAGATAAGGACGATATCTAGGGCCAACTGCATAGCAAAGATTTTCTGAATGGAAAAGAAATTTTGATAGGAAAAGCTTTTCTGAATGGAATTGAAATTTTGATTAACCTTCATATGATTTCTGCTTAACTTTAAATCAATAAAATAAAGAAATAATTTAAAAACAATGTTGAAAAATATCTTTAGCTAATGCATATGGGATAAATGTTGAAAATACAGAAAGAAAGTATTTAAATTAATTTTATATAATTTCTACTTTACTGTAATTTTATAAACATTAAAAGCAGCAAAAAATATGAAAAAAAATGTTGAAAAATGTCTTGACTAAAATTTACGAGTAAAATGGTCAAAATATAGAAAGAAAAATGTCTTAATTAATTTTAATTGATTTTTACTTAACTATAATTTAACTACCAATAAAAGCAGCCAGAAAATAATTTGCAAAAATGTTAAAAAAATAGATTTGACTTAAAGTAGCGAGAAAAATGTTTGAAACACTGAAACCAACCTATCAAAGTTATAAGTGAGATATACGAAGGTAAATAATTTTTAGTGAGTTACGAAACTCAGTTCAACTCGATTTCTTCTAGTCTTTCTTTAAAGTTGTATAAATTATGTCAATGACATATTCAATGCGATATTTTCAAAAGCAAATGCAATAAAAATGCTATTGAGATGAATAAAATGTAGAGAGAGCAAGAAATAGAGAGAGAGAGGGAGAGAGAGAAAGAGATAGAGGGCGGGAGCAAGCTCACGCAGCTATAATTATTTATGCAAGCAGTAAATGGAGTCAGCAGCCGCATATTAATTGTATGACGCTGTCATTAATGCTTGTCGTTGCATGAAATTATAGATGCGCTCTTTAGATAGCGCTAATTAAATAATTAAATATGCTTTAGGCCATGGCCAGTCAGCGGATTTATGAGCGCCATCCATCAGCTGCGACAATTATTGCTGTAAATATATCACAATATTCGCATAAAATTCAATTCGCAGTGCCACGCCCCAAGGCCCCAACTTGCAGCAGCAACAGCTGCTGCGAAAACTTTATGCGTAATTGTATATTCATTTTTATTTATTTATTTATTTTTTTTAATTTTTTTTGTTATTTTTGGAATGCTCGTCAAAATGCTATTTGTATAAAATGGAAATGAAATATATATGTGTATATAGAAAAATATAGGGAATAAAATGTAAACATAAATCAAAGGGCTTTGTTGGATCTAGAGTGGTGTTGGCCCAGCGTCCGTCAATGCTTAGATGAGAAAATAATGCTGCAAAAATGTAATTTATTAGCTTTTGTAGCTCGTCGCTAATCAGGTGCAATGGCACTTGCCTTGGGATCCGCCTGCTTCCAGCAGCGATGCAGCCAAAAGGCGCGCTCGCACTTCGTGTCGCCCTTGGGATAGAGACAACGCTTGCCCATGTTAACCGCAATGTCGTGCATCGAGTCGGGCAAGCGGTCGAGCAGCTTCTCCAGATGCACCTCGCCATCCTCGTGCAGCACATCGGTCTCATCAAACACACAGTACATGTAGCACTTGAGCTTCTCGTCCTCGTGCACCTCCCCGTCGCTGAACTCCTTAATTGCCGCTGCAAGCACAGGTTGCGAGAGTACAGTGACAGATGACAACAGCTTGTTTGCATTTATCCGGCATCCAGCTCAACTCTGCTGCACCAACTTATGCTGCTTATTTACCAACACCTGTACTCACCTTCTGTCACTCCTGTCTTGCCCACACAGCTGTCATGCACGGGCTGCAACTCCTTCAGCATCTCCGGCGGCGGGTACTTTCATACATAATAGGATAATAATAGAATAATATAAATATCAAACAAAAGACGCTTTTCCACAAATGTACATTATGCAGATAAGCTGAAATACTGAAAGTTTCTGCTAAAGGACATTTCATTTTTGATACAAATATTTTTTTTAATAAATTATTTCTTAGATTTCTCGAGTTTAGTGGTTGGGAATTTATTTGTTATGAATAGAGCAGGATCACAAATATCACAAATTAATTTTTGTCGTCTTAATACAAATAGTTTTTATGAAATTTAAATTTTTCTTCGAATGAAAAAGAAAGAATTATTATTGAAGTATTATTTCGATCTGTATAAAAGCCTAAACCTAATATATATAAGTCTGTAAATATATTTTCCGCTATGTAGATATTTTAATATATTATTTCGTTGCTCAATAGAGAAACGTTAATCAACAGTTATATAATGAATCTAAAAAGTCGAGCACCAAAGTAGGTAGAGTCAAGCGTCTCTATAACAACCTTTTATGGTATTAAAACGAGAAAAAGGTAAATGCACTCATTTGCTGTAGCTTAGAGTCCACCCTACGTGAAGTCCTAACTGCTCTTCATTATCTCAACTTGTGATTTGGTTTATCTTGTCGTTGCCGACAGCGATCTGCTGTTGCTTACCGTTTCATCGCGTCGCAGCTCGGCTGCCCAGCTGCCACGCCCCATCACAGAGCAAAGCAGTAAAATGTAGAAAATGTTAATGGTGGCACGCAGGGACATGATGCCGCTGTACAGCTGCTGCTGCTGCTGCTGGTCAAGTTGCAACGTGACAACGCCGTTCAAGTCCAAAGTAGCGCTAAGCTGCGGAAGCACGTGAGACGCAGGATATCTGGGATCAAGGATTTAGTGGCACACACAGCACGGTCAGCCACTGCGGTACGTGCAGTCAAGGGTATTAGCCGACGAAATTGAATGACTTTAGCAGCCAAATGGGAGAGCAACTGCAACTGCAACTGCAAGTGCAACTGATACTGACACAGAAGCCAACGGCAAGGGGATGCTTTATAGCCAAAGCCAGTGTGTGGGGCCAGCCGCTTGATCTGTGTAATTAGCTGTCATTAATTACCATGCTTGGTCCCATAATTAAGCCAGCCGAAACGTGGCCAGCAATTTGTCAATCAAAGAGCACTCGGCGCGAGGCGCGAAAATACATGGCTCAAGCCAATGTTTGCCAAGATGGCGACCACTGGAAATGGGTGCGCGTCATGAGACGCCGGCAACAAGTTAATACCAATAACAATAGCAGCAACAACAACGGCACGCATAGGGCTATTAAATGTAATGCGAATGCCAGGTAGCTGGGTCCCGTAACCGCAACCCATCATTTGTTGCCACACGAAACGCGTTAATTACGGGGCGGGTGGCCATTGCAATTTTATTTTCCTTTTTTTTTTTGTTTTCTCTTTTTTTTCGCTCTCACATTCATTAATTATTATGCAAGCTAAGCGCTGGGCAAAAGTTTTGGCTGGCTCACTCGCTCTCAGTCAGTTCCTCCCACTCTCTCGCTCGCTGCTTCTCTCTCTTTGACATGCAAACGCAACGTGTCAAATTAATTTTTAATAGCCAACCCCATCCACCGCCGTCGACTCTCTCTCGCCAAATAATAGATTTAAACGAGGCGCACAGCAACTTTTTAGGTGGGCGTCCGTCCATGCATTGTAATTAAAGTTTTTGACTTCAGCTGTAGGGGTCAGTGGAGCTGCGTACTGGCCTTAAAATAATACGCACAAAGGCGCTGCCAAGCAGCAGCAACAGCAGCGGCTAGGCGTGTGTGGGTGTTGTCCTTGTCATCGTCATGTTTGCCATAATTGCGCAATGTGTTGAAGGCATTTAATGTGGCAGCAGCAAGAGGGCCAGCTGTGTGAGTGTGTGGGTGTGTGTGTGTGTTGGTGTATGTATTGACATGTGACACTTGCAAATTAGATGCCGGCAGGCGTACAATGTTGCCTATGATGTTGCATGCCATTGTTGCATATATGTGCAAATGCAGATATGTGTATGCATATGTGTGCGTGCGTGTGTGTTGCACAACTTATTGACACCTTATTTGCGCTCACAAAACGCACAACTCGTTTTGCGGTTTGCACATGCAATTTACATGTGTAATTTTTCGGCCATGCAAAAGTTGCAGCTGCTAACCGCAGTGGCAGCAGTAGCAGTCACAGCAGCAGTAGCTGCAGCAGCAGCAACGGCAGTTACATCATTGTCAGCAGCAGGACAAGCCAGGATGACAGAGGACAACTTCGTTAAACGAACTGCAGCATTTGTGCAGCTTGTCAGCTGCTCCATGCGCTGCTGCCCAGAAAATTTGAATAGCGCGCGTTTGTTGCGGCCATTTGTATGGACTCTAGTGGTTTGCTGTTGCCGGACATAATCGATTTACAGTGTTGGCCAGGCCAGGCCAGGCCTGGCTACGCATTTCACCAGCATCGAAAAAGATATGAAGTAAAAAAAAAATAACGAAATAGAACCTGGAAACTGAGTAGTATGTAGCAAAAGGGGTGACACTTCGTGTGGCAAGGTGGGGAAGCTGGGCCCTGTTTACGGCTCCAATGAATTATAATTAATGATTGCGGCATGGGCGGCGGCTTAGCTTTTAAAATTTATAGCCGGGCCAGTACGACCGACTGCCTGAGCATAATAAATTTAAATTAGCACTAGCCAAATAAAATACGCACAATAAATAACTGGCCAAGGTCAACAATTTTTGGGGTAGCAACTGCGCCGGGTCAAAGGGTATGGCCATTTGATATGCATTTAACATTTTATTGCTCATTATTATGATATATATTTATGTATAACCAGGTCAGGAACGGTTCGCTGCTCATATTTGAGTTTGTTATGGCTCAGTTTTTCTCTTGTTTCTTTCTCTTTTTTTTGCTCCTTCCACATTTTGCTTAAAGAGCCGCTCAAAGCAATGCAACTTGCATCATTAACATATTCACAGTCTATTAATTTTCAGCACACACACACACACACACACACACACACGCACACTTACACTCAAGTCTCGAGTCGCCCAAGTCTCGTTGTCGACGGTTGCCCGTTCAGCCTTTGGCAACATAATTAGAAACTTTTGCACTTAAATGCAAGCTGAGTGCATGCGGCCAGTCGAATGAATGCATTAAGCCAAAGTACAAGCCAAGTACGCGTTAGCAATGTGCCATAATAACTACAACTATATGAGCTGGAACTCACTATGCACTCGCCTTTTCTCCCTTTTATGAAACGGTCTTAGTGCACTGCTCATAATGTTAAGTACTAGTTAGTTACATGAAAGTCATAATACGGCAAGATTTTTTATATTTTAAGCTGCGATGCTAACAAGTCGTTAGATTATAATATATTTGAAGTGTCTAGTTACTACATCCAGAGATCTCTGCATGTGTATGTGGCATATAATAAACATCAATATCACTATCACAGTCATTTTCATAGCTTCGTCATCTTTATTAAGCGAAACCCTCAATACTATTGATATCATTGCTCTGATAACAGTCATCATTGTCATTGTCATTGTCATTGTCATTGTCATTGTCATTGTCATTGTCATTGTCATTGTCATTGTCATTGTCATTGTCATTGTCATTGTCATTGTCATTGTCATTGTCATTGTCATTGTCATTGTCATTGTCATTGTCATTGTCATTGTCATTGTCATTGTCATTGTCATTGTCATTGTCATTGTCATTGTCATTTTTACTATTTCACTTTTCAAAACATAGCAGCTTAAGCGTTTTTAAATTTCTTTCATTGTTAACAATGTTTAATCTATGAAAGTATTTCTTCTAGAAGCATTTGCCACTTAGCTCTGTGTCGGACAACACACATAGTTTGACAAAGAGATTTGATTTCGCAAGTCTAATGACTGGTTCACTTAGACATCATCTCATCAACCCATTTACCAAGAGCTGCAAATAGCCTACAAAAACTTTGCTTAATTGTTCTTTAGTTTTAGTTTGACTTAACCAAAAGTCAACCCGTCAACAGCGCACTCTCGAAAATGTTGGCTCTACTTTCTCGCTTAAGCCAGTTTTTTTCGAAATGTTTCATCGTTTAATAGCTCCTGCTCAGACTTAAGTGTGTCAATTAAATTATACCTGTGGCAATTATTGAGCTGAAGCAGTTTACGATGCTTTTTTATGGAACTAAACGGCTTTAAGATGATCCCATCGCATTTGTCGTTTAATATAAAATTTGATTGTTTTTTGGTCTAACTACAAATGATTGAGCGATTTGGCCTCGATTCAGCCACGGGGCGAGCCACACGCCGAATTGTTGCAATTTAAATGCGCGCACACTTAACTTTATGCATGACCCATAAAATTGGTCATAAATGCATAATATGGCATGTCATTAAAAATTAATTAAGGGTAAAATATGTGCATACGACTTTTACGAGAGTTTGGCGCGAGTATTAAATAATCGCCCGATAGCCAAGGCAATGCGTCAAAACTGAATGCAATTTATATGCCACTATATATTATGTGTTTCATATACAGCTTTTAAACTGTCCCGCTTCAGAATTAAACGCATCAGAGCCACAGCTCAGTCAATGGGACCAGAAGTCGAAGGGCAACTGGGCAGATGGGCAAAGGGTTGCGGCCCTCCCGCAGCTATGTCATTGATATTCATGAGCCTAGGGCGTTTGAACTTGACAGTGATTAAGATTTGACTGTCCTAACCAAAACAGAGTTGGAAAAAGAGTATTAAGAAAGCTTCAGGCCTAACTGCACGACTAGCTGCTGCCCTGTATTGAATAGAGAAACTGAAACCAAGTGCTTTTGCCCTTCGAGTCCAAGATTCTTCCATTTGGCATTTTTCTTAACTGGGCAAATTCAATTGAGAGCGGCTCAGCGATTGATACCCTGTTCGCCTGCAGTGCAGGGCATATTCGAAAAAAAGGCTGCTGGTATTCGCTTTACAAATGTAAATTAGACCGCCATTTTTTGCGCTGTGGCAGATATTTTAATTTAGTCTGTAAAAATGACACGGCCGCAAACAAAAAGGCGCTGTGATGTTTGCCCTTTGTTTTGTTTGGCCAGGGCCAAGCATCTGGCCATCTTTAGCCTTTTTTGGCTTTTTTTCTGTTGTTCTTGTTGCTGTTGCTGCTGTTGGTGGTGGTGATTTTCAAGTGAAAAGCGCGGCTACATCAAAAGGGTTTGTCTGTGGGTATGGAAATTTTTGTGCTGTCGAATTTTTATGCGAAAATGTCAAGCGGCTAGCGCAAACAAATAAAAAAAGGGAATAGAAGCGGAGGAAAAAAAATTGTAATAAAAACCCAAATAAAAGGCAAATGACGGCAATTTAATGGTTCAGACGCGAAAACAATAGTGTTGTTGTTGTTTGTGGCTGAAAGAAATGTGTAATGTGTTTTTGAAAGCCAAAGTTGGCTGATGCGGCTGCTGTTGCTGCTGCTGCTGCTACCTATGAAGTTTTTTTTTTATCTGCTCGTTGCAGCTGGGCCAAAAGTTGTCGTTGCTTCGGCAGCTGCAGCGAGCAGCGCACAAAAGTAAACTTTAATTATAGCTGGACAGCAGTGCCTCTAATGAATGGCCCCCCACAATTCTCAACTTCCCCTCTATTCAGGTCTGTGACTGTGTTTTCTATTTGCCCGAATTTGCCTTATTAAAACTTTTCGTCAACTTGCGATTCTGACGTTCCTTTTGGTCTTTAAGCTCGTCTGTTGCCATAGCTTGCTCTTCGCCCTATATACTATATATATATATACACTTATATATATATATATATATATATGTATATAGTATTTATATATTTATTTGCATGACAACAGCAGAAAGCTAAAAATTTAATTAGATTTAAATTCTTGAATGTCTAATGCGTTGCTTCACGTTATTTTCATTGCTCTCACTCGCTCCTGCTCTCTCTCTCTTTATTTTTTTGGTGCACGGAAATTTGTCTTTACAAGATTTTTGCGTTGCCAGCCCAGAAATTGTTTAATTAAAAG